GACATGACTTATCATTTGCACGATCTTCAGCCATTCCACAAAGGTAACACTTATTTCTAAATGAGAATCGCGTCAGACAGCATGTAGAATTCAAACGGTCAATTATAGTAGCTCCTGTGTTAGAGAGGAAAGTTTTGTTTTGTTCCGTGACTGCGACCTTCCCGCGAGCCACATCATAGGCCCTGTCCCATGTGAGCTTTTCTTCGTTCTCCATTAAGAGACTCTCTCTGATCAGAGAATCCGTGAGACCAGAAATTAATTGTTGTATTAGCATGGTTTCTGCCACTTTTTTCTTGGGAATACTATTGTAATCATCCTTTCGAACAGAACAAACAAAACGGGAAATGAATGCATCCACTGATTCACCAGATGCTTGTTTCAGCTGCAAAAAATGGTACCGAGAAGTATAGGTGTTCACTCGAACACCCCAGTGTTTATCGAGGGCCGATAAAGCCTCTGTCAACGTGGGTTTCTCCCGCAAGTTTAGAGCGTCAGATATACGTCGACCCTCTGAGCCGACGTGCAAGCGCAAAAGCTTTAAAGTATCCTCCGTTTTCAGCGTCACGGATGGATTGAGAAGTAGTAGCACAGAAATATACTCTGAAAAATTAATTTTCCAATCTTCCCAGCATTCTGCATTTGGGGTAACCGCAAACTCAGTCCAGAACGGTGAAGGGGCAGTAGCATGCATAGACATCGGTAACACTCGACGCCAGTTTGTTGGATCCCGAAAAAGCCGCAGGCCAGAGTAGCACCGGAACTTATGTGTGGTGGAAACTGTCAGCACACGCGCGCAGTACAATTAAATTGATAGAACTTCGCATTGCAACCAATCAAATACAAGATCACATGATAGGCCAACGAGTGCTTAATGGAAGTGTGAGTAGGATAAGCGGTTCGAGGGTAAAAGCGAAGCGAAGTATTTGAACACGGCAAACATGATCGCCGTTATTTGACTGCGAAGCACAATACCGGCATAACGCGCCTAGGACGAGGTCTCTTTACTCGTTCACACAGCATCACTTAAATTAGAGGTTGGTTGTCGTGTTGGGTACAGTGATCGATAGAGGAATCGGTATTCATGCGCGCCTGCCCCTACCTGCAGCTTCAGATGTGAAAGCTCAGTTGGTAGAGTAAACCGGAGTCACTGTTGATTGAGTACTTTAAGATAAGCACAGATATCAAAAGATTAGTCGACAAAGCCAATATACTGCGATGCTTCGTCCTTTTGTTAGTTCTGTCAAACTGAGCCATTCAATGTGGGAGATCCATTACTTTGGGGTGCAAATATTTCTTCGCATTGCGGTAATGCATGTAGTCTGAAATGGCTTCGTCAGTACCGCTCTGTATTCAGGAAAGCGAGATGGTAACATAAAAAATGCTTTTATCAGTGTGCTGTCCGCTATTTAACAGCTGAGTTGTGATGGTGGAGGGCAAATCTATATTCTTTGGAGCAGTGATGCGACGAATTGCTTCTGGGAGGCACCAATTTCCTCATAAGAGAATTCAAAAATATCATGCAGACCGCGGGTGCTGACTTATCAGGCTAGTCTGGTCTCCACAAAACCATTTCAACACAAAAAATCGAAAATAGTAAGAACAAGCACCATCTCAGTGAGATAATCTACATTCAGTTTGTTTTGCTCATTCTCATTCACGTCAGTTGTACACGTTCAGTGGCACACTTGAACGATCAATATAATGAATGGATAGCAGCACAACCTAGCAGGCAAGATCGCCGGAGCACTATGAGAAGGCGAAGTTGGCGACGAGGGCAAGTTGTTTGAGTAGACTGAGCTATGATCGCCATTTGGTGGAAGCCTCAGTCATGGACAGTTTATTCTGACAAATTTTAGTCGACATTCTTATGGGCCATCTGCCGAAAGCTAAACTGATCTCAATTCCAAGGCACACTATATGGTGTGCATTGACGGCGTTTTTGTGGCTGTTGACACTGCTCAGCAGGCGGTAACATGTTAGACAGTGGATAAATGTCACGCTGACCAAATTCCCCTTGAACGGAGTGTTTTTTACTAAAGTTCAGTCCAAACAGCAGACTGGGAGGGCACCATGTCAAACTAGAAAAACAACACAGCCACCTGGAGTGTAGAGGGAATTTCTTCTCAATTCGTGCTTACCATACATGGAATTCCCTCCCAGAATCGGCTATTTTAACCCTACATAAGCTGTGTACTAAGATCGTGCCGACAATGCACTGGTTGCATTACAGCAAACCCTAAAATACATATATCAAACACAATGGCTGGCTGGCGGAACAACCTCCACGTGGTGCCAGATGGGTGGTTCGGGTTAATCCCGTTCCAGTGAATAGTTCAGCGGCAGTGTTTCAGGACGTGGTGGGTTTTCGCCTGGCAAGCGTTCTCCCAATAAAAAGCCACAAATGTCCGTTTACCAACAGTGCGACGTGGCAGGTGTGACTCGCCACTAAATAAAGTCACTGCCTCTTCCCCATCCGGAGGATCCCCACTTCACAAAACTTATCCAATTCGAAGGGTTCAGTTTATCCCTTCCTACGTTGGCGAATACAGCAAACAAACTCACGACTTCAGTCACAATTCACAAGTTCACTCATCGTGCCCATCGACACATATGGTTGGCGGCATCCGGTTTCGGATTTGCCTGTCACTGTGGCAAGCCACAGGACGCCTGCGCCTACAGAGGGACCATGGATGGCTTGCGCTGCACCACCCACAGCTCCAACCACATACCCCATATCCAGTGTAAACCCGAAGGAATAAGACCGGGAGGCATGCGGATGGGAACCACGTTTCATCAACGGAGCCGGCCCACACTCCTTCACAGGCAAACACTACCAAATACCAGGGATATCAAACAACAGCCATTCACTTTAAACGACAAGCTGAAATAAAATAAATCCAATAATGCATACAGATACGGTGGCATAACTCTTCGCTAAATTATCATATGAAGTAAGTTGGTTAGCAACAAATCCGTGATAAGTAAGAAATGTCCACAAGTTACTTAAAATGCTACAAACGCAACAAAATTACCGAAGATAAGCGCAATTAGTGTAAGCAAAGTGGCCAGTTGATAGAACATTATTCAGGGAGGCAGAACAAACCAAATAAAGCGGAATGAAATTTAGCCAGCTTAAAAAGACCTAGTTTAAGTGTAAGTTGGTTTAGCTCATATACTTACATACATACAGACACAGAAATCCAGTGTGTAACTGATTACCACGCTATATTATTATGCAATTGCCGAACATACCTGTTTGTATTATCATGCTCATGCCTTCGCAGGCGTGTCCCGCGCTGCCGTGAATAAAACATTTATTTGTTTATTTATTTAAATTCAGAAACTCGAACAGCATCAACTCATACCCATATTTCAGGGTATACCAAAAGCGGGGTGATTCCAAACTGCATAAGAAACATTTGGACGATTTGCTCGGCAACTTCACCGTACGACACACGTTAAAGTTCGGTTATTATACCTAATATACCATTGACCATTGACATGTTCCGCATTTTAGGCCGTGTCTCGGAGAAAGTACGTAGCCAGCTTGTTACGTAATTTTATCATAAACTGATTTATGAGGGGTGCTAGTTAAAATTCGGAACTTTTCGTTTCACGGATATTAGGTCAGTATAGATACCCACATAGTTTATGCGAGTCCGTCGAATTCAACTCACGCAGTCAGCTGGAAGGGATTTATATTGTGTGGTGCCCATCATAGGTAATATTGGTTACCAAAGTGGATTTATCGCAGGGTATGGGGAGATGACTTCCAAACGACAAAAGCGGACTGACTGCCCTGAGATGAAGACATTCACTGCACCATCCTTTAAAGTGCAACAAGAGGATAAGTGGTTCATACACTGGTTAAACAAATCTATAAACAGATACCGCTTTGGAGCTGTTAAAGCGTTTTATTCAGCTTACACTAAGCTCGCTTTCAAGCTACCACCTGCCTGCATCATGGTCGAAGTGAAAGAACCATGTCCAGCATTTTGGGAGCCCATTCCTCGGGGTTTGGTGGATAGATAAATGGTTCAATCATTCAGGCTGCACAAAGGTCCAGGTTCCTTGTGAAGCATTTATGGCTACCAAACCGCAAATAATCCAAGTCCGCTTTAGGCCACTGACGCTCTCGCCACCCGGCAACTGAAGCGTGGCATCCTCAAACGATATGTCCAAATAACCAGCCTAGCCTTGTCTTGATATGGAGCCAGCTGTGATATTAGTGGTGATAATCTTGACCGCTTAGACGGCAGGCCGATTTCTGTAGGCAGTTCTTTTGATTTATGTTGCCGAACTTATGTAGGCATCTGCATGGAGCTCAAATTATCCCAGCAGAAGGTTGATGGGCTTCGATCTTGACTTAGTATCAGCTCAGAGCTGTAAGTGTCGTATTATACACTTGGTAGTGGATTCCTAGGGGAACAGGAATCCGTGCAGCAAGGTGGCGTGTGCTGCACAAATGGTTTGATTTGGCACGACAAAAAGGAACCAGTACGACGGCTACTCAGGTCCAATATATTCTCACACTTTTTCTATTCTTAAGTAGGGCTCTTTTCCCAATCATTGTAAGACGGAGAGTCACCCTAGTCGCATAGCAGTAACAATGAGAATACAGTTGAACAACTGCTCATTATAACTTCGAATACGACAGTTGTGTCGGACGCTTCAGCTAGTCACCATCTGGCTTCAATGCACAATAGAGAGCAGTGAGTACAGATTCAAATATGTGTGACTCGTTGGATCTATCGGCAGTGCAAAATAACTTACCTGGTGAGGAGTGTCGACGCGCACCCCGAATCTCGTATATAGCAATATGGTCAGGGTCTTGCCTACTGAGCTTGCGCGCAGTGAGTTTGTGATATATGCTACTTACAAGGACTCATCCAGGCATGCGCATCAGCTCAAACACTAGTCTGAAACGCGTCCTGAAACACTGTGTGTTTCTAAAGGCAAACAAAGAATAGGCAACACATTTAGCAAATTCATTAATGCAATCAACAAACCGGCTCTGTGGTAGCAAAGCGGACTTCGAAGACGCCATCAACGCATTTCCGGACTGCGCTGATATCCGGAGGGACAGCTTGGAGTTGCAACTCTATGGCTTTCTCCGTTGGCCCGTAGTGAGACTGCGAGGTGGGCGGGAATGGTGGTATATCGATACTGCCTGGTTTCGCAGTAACAGATGAGTCGGGATCAGCGCCTCTGGCTTCCACCCGATACTCGCAAACGTCCGTGAACAACTGTTCGGAAGGAGAGAATAGAAGTTATGTTACTTTAGTCAGTAGGTTGGCACAGAGATGTTTCAATTCACAATATGCCACCAGGTAAATAATGATGGAATCAGTATGCTATACGCATGGGTTTGCAACTTGATTGATTGTTCCACGTAAGCAAACTGGGATACATCGTCAGCACAGCTGCGGGATTCCTCTGGTCATCAACACAGCTGGCACTACTAGCCCTTAGTGCACAATACCATCTCTTAAGGGGGAACTGGATTTACAGTTCATCGAACACATCAAAACAACTACACTCGGCACTAACGGGAGACTGGTCGTGCAGATTCAGTCGCTTAACACAACAGAGTAACGCATCATGGGTTTGGAGTAGTTTGGCAGTAAGAAACAGATTGCAAAGATGTAAATGCCTAATGCAGTGTACACGTTAATTCCAATTGCTACCTAGGCAAGACTAATTCCGAAAAAGTACTTTATAACAATTTATCCAGTCGAAGACGACCCCCATTTGGTTGTTCTTCAAGGTTTATCACAAAAAAGGTGGCTCGATAGTCAGACGCTTAAAGTGGTGTGCTGACCATCCTCTCTCTTCCTAGGAAGTAGTGACGAAACAAAACAATAATACCCCCACTCCTACAGAAAATATCTGGGGGCGGCAAACATCAGAGAGACGGTGAAGCAGTCTCTCCGCTAGTTTTCTTCAGCAGACAAGACGGACACGTAAGATCCATAGCTGGATAACAAAAAGAATAAGCAACTATTTCATTACTATTGTACGCAGCCCGATAACTGGCAGCGTTTTTGTCCCCATAGGAGACCGCCGCAAGTTAAATCCACAGAGATACCAGTAGTATGAACAAAGTAAATAGGCAAGACCTTCACAAACTGGCGCCCAAATGAACTCGTTTGCGTATAAAAAGCTTTCCGTAGTGAGCTAAGTCTTCATGCGCAGGAATGAGTCGGTAACTTATGTCACAACCTAAGGCAACTTTGGGCTTAACAGCTTCGTACTAAGGTGTATATAGGTGTAATTTTAGTCTACTATGTGGGCGTATCCTCCGACCACTGCAGTTGTGGTCCGTACCTAGGGAACAATGATGTTTTAAGTGATTGGTATGATGGTAGCTGGTACGTTACGCAAACGAAACAGACGCGGGGCCAGTGGACTGGAAAGCCAATCAGGGACACAAGCGCAAGTTGATCGCCATTACATGGACCGTCGAAAAGGCAGGAACTGCGATACAGTTTTTGTGAGTCAGGGAGGCTTTTGGTCCCGCACAATGACAAGCGAGTTGCCTGCAGACTACAATGACCCGGAGCAGACGGTGCGCACTGTGATTGCATCTGGTCGACCTAGCGTGCGGAAAAGACGGAGGCGGCAGGTGGAAGCCCTATCAGAGCTGCAGACGCAAGCTAAGCACATTCGCATTAACCGGGTGAACAGCCCAAAATAGTGTCCGGATATTGGGAACAAAACGCAACTTTATTTCAACCAAGTCAGTAGTCCAAACAGCTGCCAAAGATTTATGGGCGCGAGCCGATGAAGTCAGGCAGATGAGTTGCAATAATCAGTCACTGAAAGCGCGCTTCTATAAAATAGTGATGCAAACATATTGGCAGTATAACATGACCCCTAGTCCATTCAGCACCGAACTTTAACCGCTGCTCAGTCATCGTTTGATTCTCGGAGAACCACCTGGACAATGAGTGATGTTAGGGTAAACGCTGAATCGAGATGCGATTTATGACAGTTCGTAACTGTTAGCTTCCACTGTCATTGTGCCCATTACTTTTAGTGCATCATTAGTGCAGCCTTAGTGGCCGTTACAATTCGTTGTTTCTGGTTGCTTACCACAACTTTTACCCTGGAGTTGACAATACCAATTACCTGTCTTTGAGTGTATCCGATTAGCTCTTTATGTGACTGCTTTGTTATTGGTTTGCTCAGTCCGGTGTTTTCATTGCCTGACAAAAACCATTGTCCCTGCTCGTATTAGTGGTATTGTTGCCGAAGCAGGGTGGAGCAGTTGGAGATGAGACAACAAGTGATAAGCATCGATTCATCATTTATACATCTTTTGTTCAACAAAAATATGCAGTGCTTTCCGATTTGCATCCCTGAACCGCACTTCATAAAATTGCGAACTTTCGGCTCAGAGTGGACCCAGAGCCAAAGCAAGGAAATAACCTTACATGAACCTAATGCATTTTCTTGAACCATCGTCTGGCCCAAATAAATGTAACATTTTAAGACGAAGAAAAGGCTTAATGGCAGAATAAGCAATTGAAATCGAGGACCATGGTAGATGACAGAAGAATCTATCGTTTGGCAGCAACACACAATATTTAGCATGCAGCATGCACCCAGTGAGAAACGGTAAAGCTACTGGAAGGTCAGTGGCATTTATTTTCATCAGAATTAAGCATAACAAACATTAAATTGTTGTTGCCATGAGGTTGGACAGCGAAACACTAGGACAAAATACGTGTTACGAAAAAGGAAGGGGAAGCTTTACGTGTTCCCCAGAGTGGCTTTTTCTAATTTAGGCGCAAACAAATATGAACTGAGGTCTCGCTGTGAACACGCTGTGGCTTACCGTAGTGAGTGTGACCTGAATGATTACCTGCTTATCTATGACGGAAGTTTATTAGGGAAATGCCTTAAAAAGGGCACCGAATGATCACATTATACTACCTTCAATATGCCATAGGTTAGCGGTGCAATTTGAGCTACCGTGACTGTGACGTAGGATCGGTGCTGACGAGAACCAATGTTTACGAAGTTGTAAGCGAATTGAGAAGAGGCGTCCGCGTAAGTCGCTGCAGTGCCGTTTATTCGAAGCGATAAATGCGATGGGCATTGTGATCAGTTGACGCGTTTGCTATGAACCGTTCAACATCCATCGAGTCATTTTGCGACAACATGCGACTGTCTGTGCGGTTAAAGGATTAATCCTAGGGTTTCTAATCTGTAATGACATGTAGGAGGCTTCAGCCCATAACGTTCTGAGGACTTGACCTTTCGCTGCCAACAGTAACATGCAGGTATGCTTCTTTTGTGGTTTCAAGGCTTCTGATCGTCATCATCAGTAGCATTAGATCAGCCACTTGAACTGACTCTTCGCTGCCCTATGACCACAGTGATCTACGAAACGAAGAATAGTAACAGGGAGAGAAGAGCACCTGGCATAAAACGTTAGTGCCCTAACCAAACGTTCAGGTTCAAGGCACCTACGCCTTGTCAACAGCATACTGTCTCAAACAGCTGGCTATCGTGCAAAGATAAGACGGCATCGGCGATGTGACACTTTTGCGGCCTCCACTTCCCCGTGTCATAATCAGCCATTACCAAGTAGATAACGCAGCAGTAAACAAACTTTAAACAGGCAGCCCGACTAGGTGACGGAAGCAGAGGCGCTCCTGGTGCCAACTGCTAGCCATATCCTGTAAAGTGTCGAGCCAAGCATAAGGTGAGTCGCCTGTACTCCAATCTGGAAGGTAAGACAAACCGGCGACGCCAAATTTTGTAGCTTTGACTTCAGTCCCCGCTGCCTAGTTAGCTTTTGTTCACCTCGGACATTGGACCACACTACATCTGACAAACGAAACAAGACCCTCCCCGGTAGTAGGTGTTTAAGTCAAATGCTACTTATCCAGTGTCATCTGTTGTTCTAGGGAATTAGCCTGATGATCAAGGCCAAACACTCGCCTATGCACATCATCATTGCGAACACGCTTGTGCCGCTAGACACCTGCAGTGTTCATAGGCAGAAATGTGCAAAGAATTGAAAGCGTCAGATCTTCTGATCGAGGTAGCCCAGTCTTACTCCCATAGAGTAAGGCAACCCTCACTATGGTCTTGTAAACACGGTCCTTCAGACCGAGGGAAACCACTTTCTGACACCAATGCTGTCGTAGATTCAAAAAGACAGTTCTGGTTTTTACAATACACGAAATGACTTAGGGGCTTATGCGCCAATGGTGGCTGGTGCAGTTGCTAAGGTAAATGAATTGATCAAATACCTCGAGTTCCTCGCTATCAGGGGTCAAGGGCCGCCATGTTGCTAGTGGTCCTGCCTCAATAGTTTGCATTTTGACAGTGTGAAGTGCGTACCAAATAATGAATTCACTCTAGAGAGGTTGTTCAGGGTTGAATGTGCTGCCCTGCTATCGTTAAACAGCAAGACTATTTTGTCCGCAAAATCAAAGTCAACCAGTTTGTCACCAAGTGGAACTTCAACCCCTGCATCGTGACGCTCCTCAAGGGAACAGTGCATGTTGGAGTCCATGACGAAGTTGCATAGAAATGGAAAAAGGAACAACCCTGATGAACGCCACTTGTCAACTTTAAGATGCGTGAGACGTCACCGTAGACTGACGCGGTCTGTAGTGTTTAAGTACAGAGTACGAAAATGGTTCAGATATTTACTAGGAACACAGTCCAGTGCAAGTATTTTGAACAGGATCGATCGATCGACTCAGTCGAATGTACACTGGAAGTCGAGAAACTCGGCCACTTTCTGTCTGTGGTACGTGTGGACCAGCGCTAGCACCTGCTGCAGAGTGAATGTATGTTTTATACAACCCCGTCCTGCTCGGAAAGCTGCTTACTTCAAGCTAATGAAACATATTCTGTATGTAAGACTACATTGATGCCGAGCATCTGGGGGATGTTGCTGATTCATGAGTGACAAATGCTAGCTCTGATGACCTATTGATCTTATTCAAGCTCTTTACATGCTTGTAAGGAAGCAGCAGCGGCTGGTAGAGATATGTAGGTAATGCTGGACGAATTTAGAACAGTCTTTGCGATGGCTACGTCAGCGAATTACCATCCACTCGTTCGGTTTCAGCATGTGCATATCTTTGCCCCACGGCCCATAAGTCATGTCAGAATCACTTTGGGTTCATGCATTGTCAGTTTTGGTAATGTCAATAAACAGCAGAATTTTTGTAAACATCATTTTCACAACCTGACTCATTACCGTTAATAATAGACAATA